TTCCCCGGGGGGTTATTTCTTATAGAGGAGCCATCCAGGGACCTAGCTGTGACATTCTTTGTCCTTTGTTTCTGGGGCCTTCATTTGTCCCCATTCCTCCAGTAAACTTGCCCCAAAGCCCCTCCCTGGGTCTGGGCATCACTGGAACCACTGTTTCCCGTCAGGCCCCACCTTTAATGTTTCTCCCTCCTTCCGCAACTTCCTGTCTTTCCAGCTCTCCTGCCTCAGTTAATAAACAGGACATTGTGGTCCTGTCTCCAGGTGACATTCCGTAGCTACCCACAAGTTGAGACCTCTGCCATGGTTTCTGCCATCAACACGCCATGGTTTTCCTCTCAGCCCCTGGCTGTTCTCTCTCCTCAGACGCATGCCTCTCTCCCTGGCACATCAGGGAGCTCCTTGCCCCCAGGTCTTGTTCCAGCACTCTCACTGATAGAACCTGTGTGCAGATGACTCACGAAGAGCCCGGCCAGACTCTGCTCCAGACCTGGATGCTGAGCTCCTGAGCTTCCCCCACCTCTCTGGCCCTCTTTGAGGGCTCATTAGCCAGGTGACTGACTATCTCACGAATCAAGAACCCCAAGCTTCCCCACAAAGGATCCGGCACTGAGTCCTGCCGCTTCGGTCCACCTTCACCCGGCAACCCACCCCCACCCCCGCTTCCACACAACTGTCAGCTCACCTGGAAGGCCTCCATAACCACCTAACTGCTCCCTGTCATCTGGTCTGATCTGTCTCCAACCTGTAGCTCAGGTGAGCTTTGAGAACATAGACCTGGCCCTATTCCCTCCTTCCCACCCTCCGCAAATCTTTTTTTTTTTTTTTTTTTTTAAGGATGGAGCAATACTTTATTTTTACACTCTTCGACAAAGAGGTTTTCCATAAACAGCCTTTCCAGTGGAGAACAAAGACCACGAAAATCAGCCTCCGGTTATCAGTAGCTGTGTCTGCTCAGGACGGAAGCTCCCCTTGCCCATGTGGTGAGGTGGAGGGGTGGACTTCCCTTCCTCCATCAGTCTATCCCATTGCCTCCACATGCTATCCCTACGTTTCATCGTTTTTTTCTGAGGTATACACTCTGAAATCATCAGATTCTATCTTGCACTCTTTCTCTGCCCAGATAGTACCGATTCCATGTGCACCTTCTATCCATCCTGTTTCAAAAGCGTGGCTTGAGCAGGAAACTTGCAGGGCTGCTCAGCACTTTGGATTGTCCACCATGGGTCTAGGGTAATGCCGAACCTTTTCTGCACGTCCAAGAAAGGCGTGGCTTTTCTTTGCCTGGATCTGCGTATCCATTGCTTCATGGGTGTTTACACTGAAATCAAAGAAGGCCTTCAGGTGTAGAGAGGCAAGCCCAGGCTATTGCTGTTTTCTGTTTCCTGGATCCTGAGGCCCCCACACTCAGTGGAACGAGTCTAGGTATTCTTCCCAACATGGCCTTGCTCCCCCTCCGCAAATCTTAGCTGACTTTCCATCCTTCCAGGAGGAAGATAGAGCTCTTTAGGCCTGTGAGGCCCTGCAGGTCGCTACTGCCTACCCATACAGCCCCAGTTCTCACTGTGCTCCTATTTTTGTACCAGGCACTCTCCCCATGACTCGCCCCCACAAGGCTGTGCAAATGCTGTTCCCTGTGCCTAGAGCACCATTCCCTCTGTTCTTCTCTAACTAATTTCTAGTGGACCTTCTGCTCACATGTTTTCTTAGGAACCCCTGCCTGCCTCCCACCAGGCCACATGTCCTGTCATAGAGAGGTTCTCAGAATGTGGTGCCCTCTCCTTCAGAGCACAGACCACATTGCTCTTCTGCTTCCTGTAGCCCTCCAACCCCAGTTCTTCCACTTCTGCTTGACTCCCCTTTCTGTCCAGCCTCCTCCCTGGCGCCCTCAACGACAAATTTTTAATAGATTACCATGCTCTGCAGATTTACCCTCCTAAATATTTGTTGACCTCGTCCCACAGTGATCTTGCTGTCAGGGCAATCTGACCATTTTCCTCCTACATTTGAAACGTTTCAGCGTCCCTCCATAAAGCTGGAGCATGGATTCCGGATCAAGGTGGCCTGGATTCAGATCCCAGTTCAGCCACTGCCTGTGTGGCCCAGGGCAAGTCACTGACCCTTTCTGTGCATCCAGTTCAGTATCTGTAGAATGGGCATCAACATGTCTTCTTCATAGAGTGGTTACGAAGCTTAAGTGAGCTGATTCTGGTTTCGGACATGGCTCAGGTGCTAGCCTACCCCACAGCAATTTATGCCCCTTACGTGCTTAGAGGCAGCAGGCTAGGTACTTTGCATGCAGTGTCTTGTTTTCTTCTTTTCTATATTCATTTTCCTCAACGTGCAGCGCTGCATGCAGTTTCTTAATCCTCTCATCTCTGAAGTACGTGGCTTTGGTCCCACCGTACAGATGAGAACACAGAGGCTCAGGACAGGAGATAAGTCCATTACTCAGGGTCACCCAGAGCAAGGGCCTCCAGGGCAGTTACACCAGGTCTGGCTCATAATTTTTTTTTTTTTTTTCTGAGACACAGTCTCAGTCAGGCGCAGTGGCTCACACCTGTAATTCCAGCGCTTTGTGAGGCTGAGGCAGGCAGATCACTCGAGGTCAGGAGTTCAAGGCTAGCCTGGCCAATGTGGTCAAACCACATTTGTGTCTACAAAAAATAATTAAAAAATTAGCTGAGTGTGGCAGCACATGCCTGTAGTCCCAGCTACTTGGGAGGCAGAGATTCCAGGGAGCTGAGATTGTGTCACTGTGCTCCTGCCTGGGCAACAGAGCGAGACTCTATCTCAAAATTAAAAAGAAAAAAAAAAAGATACAGCCTCATTCTGTTGCCCAGGCTGGAGCACAGTGGCACAAACATGGTTTACTACAGCCTCAACCTCCCAGGCTTAACTGATCCTTCTGCCTCAGCCTCCTGAGGATCTGGGGCCACAGGTATGTGCCACCATGCCCAGCTAATTTTATTTTTATTTATTTATTTTTTAAAGATGGGGTTTCACCATGATGGCCAGACTGGTCTTGAACTCCTGACCTCAGGTGATCCACCCACCTCAGCCTCCTAAAGTGCTGAGATTACAGGTGTGAGCCACCGCACCTGGCTATTTTTATTTTTTGTAGAGATGAGGTCTCACCATGTATTGCCCAGGCTGGTCTTGAACTGCTGGACTCAAGCAGTTCTCACAGTGTGGCCTCCCAAAGTGCTGGGATTACAGGCATGAGCCACTGCAACTGCTCTTGGCTCATAAATTTTCATACATTGTTTTTTTTTTTTTTTCATTTTCATTCAGTTCAAAATATTTTTTAAATTTCCTTTTCTTATTTCTTGACTCATGGATTATTTATAAATGTTTTACTTAGTGTTCAAATAGGTAGAGGTTTTTCAGTATCATTTTGTTAATTTTTTTTTTTTTTTTGAGACAGCATCTCGCTCTGTCACCCGGCTGGAGTACAGCGGTGTGCTCTCAGCTCACTGCAACCTCCGCCTCCCAGGTTCAAGCAATTCTCACGCCTTAGTCTCCAAAGTAGCTGGGATTACAGGCGTGTGTCACTATACCTGGCTAACTTTTTTGTATTTTTAGTAGAGATGGGGTTTCACCATGTTTGCCAGGCTGGTCTCAAACTCCTGGCCTCAAGTGATCTGCCTACCTCAGCCTTGCAAAATACTGAGATTACAGGAGTGAGCCGTTGTGCTCAGCTATTACTGATTTCTAGTATTTAATTCCATTGTGGTCAGAGAACATACTTCATGATTTGAGTCCTTTTAAATTTATTGAGCCTTGTTTAATGTCCCAGAATATGGTCTATTTTGGTAAATGTTCTTTTTGAAAAATAATTATGCTGAAAGATACCAGTCATTTATACAAAATTTTATAAAATGCAAACTAAAAGGCCTGGTCCAGTGGCTCACGCTGTAATCCCAGCACTTTGGGAGGCTGAGGGTGGGCCGATCACGAGGTCAGGGTTCATGACCAGCCTGGCCAACATGGTGAAACCCCATGTTTACTAAAAATACAAAAATTAGCAGAGTGTGATGGTGCATGCCTGCAGTCCCAGCTACTCTGGAGGCTGAGACAGGAGAATCGCTTGAACCCAGGAGGTGGAGGTTGCAGTGAGCCAAGATCCTGCCATCACACTCCAGCCTGGGTGATTGAGGGAGACCCTGTCTCAAAAAAAAAAGAAAAGAAAAGAAAATACTACAGTATTTCTGCATTCTGAGTTAATCAAGATTCAAGACATTCACACAAATAAGAATGGTTTGGATCAAAAGTTACTAGAAGCTCATTATAAAAACTAAAAAAACAATGCAAACTAATCTATAGTGACAAAAATCAGATCACTGGTTTCCTTTAGGAGGTGGGGCAGACAGGGCAGGAGGGAAGGCTCTCAGGGACCTGAGGAAACTTTTGGATGATGAATCTTTACTATCTTGATTGTAGTGATGGTTTCCTAGGAGTATACATACGTTGAAATATATAAAATTGTACTTTAAAGATGTGTAGTTTATTGCTGTTTTTATTTTTATTTTTTGGGGACAGGGTCTGTCACCCAAGCTGGAGTACAGTGGCAAAATCTCAGCTCACTGCAACCTCTGCCTCCCAGGTGCAAGTGATTCTCATGCTTCAGCCATCTGAGTAGATGAGACTACACACATACACGCCACCACACCCAGCTATTTTTGCATTTGCATTTTTTTTTTTTTTTTTGAGACAGTTTCACTCTTGTTACCCAGGCTGGAGTGCAATGGCGCGCTCTCGGCTCACCGCAACCTCCGCCTCCTGGGTTCAGGCAATTCTCCTGCCTCAGCCTCCTGAGTACCTGGGATTACAGGCACGTGCCACCATGCCCAGCTAATTTTTTTTAGTGGAGACGGGGTTTCACCATGTTGACCAGGATGGTCTTGATCTCTTGACCTCGAGATCCACCCGCCTCGGCCTCCCAAAGTGCTGGGATTACAGGCTTGAGCCACCACACCAGACCCTGCATTTGCATTTTTTTAAACTTGTATCACAAATGCCTTATTTAAAGGTCCATCTCAACTTACATGTGGCAGCACAAAATAAAGGACCAGATCGTGACACACCATTTCCATCTCAAGTGGTCGAATCCAACATCCAAAACCCAGCGAGCAGCCAAACCCAGTGCAACCTCCAGGCCTTGCTCAGACTCCAACAGGGTCAGCATGTTGCCCTCGAGCACAGGGCGTTTTACCTTGGGGATGACGGAGCGGCTCGTGTTGTCCATAAATTCCACGCACACCTGCGTGCACTGTCCCTGAGAACCGGTCCTGTCCAGGACCTTGGTGACCCTGGCCAACTTGATAGGCTGCACACGGCTGGTATCCATGATGGCGGCTCGGCAGCGGTCTGGCAGAGATTGCATTTGTGTTTTTAGTAGAGACATGGTTTCACCAAGTTGCCTAAGCTGGTCTTTTTTTGTTGTTTTTGAGACAGGGTCTCACTCTGTCGCCCAGGCTGGAGTGCAGGATGAGATCTTGTCTCACTGCAACCTCTGCCTCCTGGGTAGCTGCGATTACAGCCATGTGCCACAATGCCCAACTAATTTTTGTATTTTTACTAGAGACTGGGTTTCACCATGTTGGCCAGGCCGGTCTTGAACTCTTGACCTCAAATGATCCACCTGCCACAGCCTCCCAAAGTGCTGGGATTACAGGTGTAAGCCATTGCACCCAGCTTTTTTTTGGAGAGGAAGTCTCACACTGTTGCCCAGCTGGGAGTGCAGTGGCAAGATCATGGCTCACTGCAACCTCTGCCTCCTGAGTTCAAGCAATTCTCTTGCCTCAGCCTCCTCAGTAGCTGGGATTACAGGTGCGTCCTACCACACCTGACTAATTTTTTTGTATTTTTAGCAGAGATGGAGTTTCACTATGTCGGCCAGACTGGTCTCGAACTCCTGACCTCGTGAGCAGCCTGCCTTGGCCTCCCAACGTGCTGGGATTGCAGGTGTGAGCCACCGTGTCTGGTCCCAAGCTGGTCTTAAACTCCTGGCCTTATGTGATCCGCCTGCCCTGGCCTCCCAAAGTGCTGGAATTATAGGCATGAGCCACCACCCCCAGCCAACAGCTGTTTTTCAAAAGTTGATGTTTAGCAAACCTCGTAGAAAGTTGAAGAAATGTTCAGGATCAAGCTATAATTATATAGGAAAGTTAAGTGGTTCATACTTAGGAAAGAAAAATTGTAAAGCAGTGTAGTGAGGGAAAAGTAAATTTAAAAAATGTATATACTTAAAAACGAAAGAAAAAGCAGTATTTCTTGGAAACAGACAGTTTCCAAGAAAGATGGCATCAGTTAAAGCACAGGTTTGGAGCCAGATTGTGAATTCCAGCCCTGCCACTCACTGGCTGTGTGACTCTGAGCAAGCTTCTCAGACTCTCTGTGCTTCGGGCTAAATAGCTCTACAACGGGGTGACCATAGAAGGGATGTGAGAGGTATGGTGGTTCACACCTGTAATTCTAGAACTTTGGGAGGCCGAGGCGAGCAGATCACCTGAGGTCAGGAGTTAGAGACCAGCCTGGCCAACATGGTGAAACCCCCATCTCTACTAAAAATACAAAAAATTAGCCTGGCATGGTGGCACACGGCTGTAGTCCTAGCTACTCGGGAGTCTGAGACAGGAGAATTGCTTGAACCCGGGAAGTGGAGGTTGCAGTGAGCCGAGTTCCCGCCACTGCACTCCAGCCTGGCACTTGAGCGACTTTGTCTCAAAAAAAAAAGAAAAAGAAAAAAGGAAAAAAGGTATGTAGGAGGATTCTGGGAGCAGGTGCTGGCCATGTATGTTTCAGAGTTGACCCTACAGTGGATTTCCACAGAGCAAACCAGTTTTTCCATTGACCAACCATAAAATCGCGGCTACTTTGGTACCAAAACTGTTCTTCACCTAGCAAGTTTTAACCCATCCTTCAAACCTTCAAAGCCGGCTTGGGGTTGGTCACTTCTTGAATTCACCACATGCTGCCGTCAGAAGGGAGCTGGCAAACTCTCCTTCCCCTCCCTCCCACTGTTGGCAGCACTGAGTCAAGCTGAAGAAAAAAGTCTAGCCATGTTAAGCCAGAAATGGAGTCTCACTGCTCATTATTTGTGCATCATGTCATATCTGTGTACCAAAAGCCCGTGTCCAGGCACTGGACAAAATTGTGACAAGATTTTGTGGACAAAATCCCTCAAAGTGGGAGCAAAATTGTCTTCCCCATTGTAGTGGAAGCAGACATAAAGCCCCACCACCTAAATATGTGGACTTAGAAACTTTTTTTTTTTTTTTTTGAGATGGAGTTTCGCTGTTGTTACCCAGCCTGGAGTGCAATGGCACGATCTCGGCTCACTGCAACCTCCGCCTCCTGGGTTCAAGCAATCTCCTGCCTCAGCCTCCTGAGTAGCTGGGACTACAGGGGTGCACCACCATGCCCAGATAATATTTTGTATTTTTAGTAGAGACGGAGTTTCACCTTGTTGACCAGGATGGTCTCGATCTCTTGACCTCGTAATCCACCCACCTCGGCCTCCCAAAGTGCTGGGATTATAGGAGTGAGCCACCGCGCCTGGCTGACTTAGAAACTCTTGAAGAGCGCTGGGATGGTTTGGGGCACCCTGAGCACTGAGGAGGGCAGGTGCTGGCTGTAGGGAGGGACTGTGGGGAAGGGCATGCAGGAGAGGGAGGGAACAGTGTTTGCAACAGCCCTGAGGGTCTTCGGTGAAATCTAGAAGGAACACTAGGAGTTAGCTAGGGAACAGTGAGAAGGCAAGAAGTAAAAAGAAAATGGAGGCTGGAAAATTTCTTTCAGTGCAGTGGGTCGGGGGACACAGCCCCTTTTGGGGCAGGGGTTGGCCACTGGAGCTGAAGTCAGAAGTAGGCAGGGGCCAAGGGACTGGAAATGTGGCCTGGAGATCATAGGAGGCGTTGTGGCGTCTTCCCAGGAGCTGCAGTCTGGCCCGCATCCACTCTGACTGTGGAGTGGCGGAAGCACACTTCCAGTGAGACCTGAGGAGGGCCTGTCCCCGAAAAGTTGGTGGGCGGAGCAGGGGCAAACTCCAGAGAGTTCCAGTTAATAGAGTAAATTAACAGGGTGAAGCACAGGAGCCCCAGATGTTCCCGGGTGGGTGAGGCCGTGCTCGCCAGGAAAACATGGGGCCCAGCAGATGGTGGCAGGTTACCCCTGCCAGTGGTTCAGTGTCACCTTTGTTGGGCGACAGTGTCTGTGGCACATCCATGTGGATGGGCCTCCAGTGAACAGGATGCTGGGAATGTGGGCAGGAATGTGATAGAAAGGATGGATTGGGAAGGGAATGGGACAGGCATGGATGGGCACAAAGATGATTCCCATGCTGGCAGTCTCAGGCCAAAAAGCCTGGGATCTTGGAGGAAGACAGCCCTGGGGGACAGGAGGCTGTGCCTCTGAGTGGGGTCCAGTCCTGGGGGTGCTTAGGAGTGGGTGTGGGAGAGGGATGGCGGGACTCTTTCCTCCCTATAACCCCTCACCTGCAGGCCTTCCCAGCCTCCCTCCTGCAGAAGCCTCAGTCTGAGTCCCCTGGCGCCTACTCTGAGTCAGGAAGGGAACAGATGTGCATGAGCCCCTCTGGGTAAAGTAGAAAGAGCTGACAAAGCAGAGGTAGCTCCCTCAGGAGCTTACGTTCTTGCTAGGGAGGGTCAGGCCAGAAACACGCAAACAACAAGCAGATGCATTCTGGCATGCTCCTGTCTCAGCAAAACTGGGGGTCCTGGACGTGAATTTGAACTCCTTCCCCAAAGTACTGCCATTTTTCCTTGAACTCACCTTCAAATCTTCTGAGTCATCTTTGACTCGTCTCTTGCCTTCAGCCCCCACATTCTGACAGCTGCCAAGTCTGGGGGATTTTTCCTTTAAAACATTCTTTCTTGCCGGGCACAGTGGTTCACGCCTGTAATCCCAGCACTTTGGGAGGCCAACGCGGGTGGATTGCCTGAGCTCAGGAGTTCGAGACCAGCCTGGGCAACACGGTGAAACCCCATCTCTACTAAAAAAATACAAAAAATTAGCTGGGTGTGGTGCTGTGCACCTGTAGTCCCAGCTACTCGGGAGGCTGAGGCAAGAGAATTGCTTGAACCCAAGAGACAGAGGTTGCAGTGAGCCAAGATTGCACCACTGCATTCCAGCCTGGCTGACACAGCAAGACTCTGTCTCACAAACAAACAAAAAAACGTTCTTTCTCTCTGTGCTTAGGGTCCTGCCCCAATCCAGGCCCGCAGGGCCCCCCCACTTCCACTTCCAGCTGGCTCTTGCTGGTTCATCTGTTCTACATTCCCATTTTCATCTTCCCACTTCCCAGTGCAGAAAACCCCTGGGCCCCCAGGACACTGAGCCCATAGTCCCTCTCTAGGCCTTCAAACCCCAGGGCCTGGCTGACCCCGCCTCTGACTGCTCACTGATGGGGCATCAACATACACCTTCCTTGGGAGGCCCCCTCCTGTGTCCATCTCCATGCCTCACCTTGGTGCTCTCAGACCTGAAATGCTGGACATGGGCATGTCACCAAGGCATCTCCCCAGCCCTGCCCACAACCCAGCTGAGTTCCCTAAGGCAGCCTAATGGGGCACCAGGGTCAGCCCTGACCAGGGGACCTGGTGATTTCAGAAGAATATGGCAGAGAAACAGATACAGAGAGAGGCAACAGAACGCGAAAGGGTGGTGGGGTGGGGGTGGTGCACCAAGAATACGCGGCTGCACCGTTTTCTGGTTTTGTTCCAGCCTCCCGACCTCCTCCTCTGAGTTCACAGCAGCACCATTCTCTCGCCCCTCCCTCCAGCCTCCATGGGCAACACATCCTGCTAAGTGCACTCAGGGCCCCTCACCCTCAAATTCAACATTACAGCACCCCCTTTTATTCACTCCGTTACTGCAGCAGCCCGAAGGGCTGATCATCCTTCCACGCTGTGTTCTCCAAATGCACCTGGAATCTCTCGCAGTGCCCTTCTCCAGGCAAACACGTGTCAGCTGAGCTCGGCTTGGAAATCACCTCCCCTGGCCAAATTCACTCTGCGTGCCTCCTCCACAGCTCTTAGTCCCCGGTGTGAATTGAAATTGGACTCTGTCTTTCTCGTCTCAGGAGCTGGCACATGGCACGCAGTCGTCTATGTGTGCTGAGTGGAAAACTGACTTGCTTTCCAGCGGGATCAAATGCGAACCCTTCCGCCAAAGGCTGTGATTAACCTTTGGCGCCACCTACTGGCCAGCTCATTGGTTGTGTACGGGGCCTCCAGTTGGAAATGGCTTTGAAGTTTAGGAATTTCATTTTTTCTATGACAGTGCTTGAGTATTTCTGAGGATCAGCATGTGGGTTTTTTTTTTTTTTTTTTTTTTTTTTTAGAAAAAGAGAAAGAGAAAAGGGGGAGAGAGAACTGGAGTCTTGCTCTGTTGCCCAGGCTGGAATGCAATCTAGAAATAGGTATTAAAACCCTCTTTTATGCTGATGATTGTGCTTAACAGCGGAGACAGGAAGGAATAAGGAACGAAAATAACAAACAGCCAACCAATATTTCATTTACATCTGTGAAATGCTGTGCAAGTGCTGAAGAGTGATTTGCTTCCATTTATGTGGTCACTTTCAAAATAGGTGTAATGTGATACTAAAAAAATAGTATGTTCTGTGGACCTGGGGTGAAGAATCTATAAATATTCGCTGAGTTTGCTTGTTCCAGGTCTGAGTTCAAATCATAAATGTCTCTGTTAATTTTCTATCTCGTTGATCCGTTGAATATTAACAATGTGGTATCAAAGTCTCCCGCTATTACTGAGTGGGAGTCCAAGTATCTTTATAAGTCATTGAGAACTTGTCTTATGTATCTGGGTGCCCCTATATTGGGTACATATATATTTATGATCATTGACTCCTATTGTTGCATTGATCTTTTTATCATTATGTAATGTCCTTCTTTGCTTCTTTTAGTCTTGGTCACTATTGTAGTCTATTTTGTCAGAGACGAAAGTCACAACTCCTGTTTTTTTTTTTGTTTGTTTTGTTTTTCTTTCCTCTCCATTTGATTGGTGAGTCTTCCTCCAACCTTTTGAGTCTTTGTGTGTCCTTGCTTATGAGATGGATCTGGATACAGAGTGCCGATGTGTTTTCACTTTTTATTCAGTTTGTGTGTCTGTGTCTTTGGGGCGTTTAATCCATTTAAATTCAGGATTAATATTGATATTTGTGAGTTTAATATTGTCATTTAATGCTGGCTGGCTATTTTGCCCATGAGTTGATATAAATATCAACTTCATTATGGAGATACTCTTTATCTTTTGGTAAGTTTTTGGGATGACTGATACTGGTTGTTCCTTTCTGTGTGTAGTGCTTCTTTCAGAAGCTCTTGTAAAGCAGGCCTGGTGGTGGTGAAATCTCTGCATGCTTGCTTGTTCGTGAAAAATTTTATTTTTCCTTCATTTATAAAGCTTAGTTTGGCTGGATATGAGATTCTGGGTTGAAAATTCTTTTCTTTGAGGATATTGAATATTAACCCCCACTCTCTTCTGGCTTGTAGGGTTTCTGCTGAGAGATCTGCTGCAAGTCTGATAGGCTTCCCTTTATGGGTAACCTGACCCTTCTCTCTAGCTGCCCTTAGAATTTTCTCCTTTATTTCAACCATGGTGAATCTAACAATTATGTGTCTTGGGGTTGCTCTACTTGAGGAATATCTTTGTGGTGTTCTCTGTATTACCTGGAGATGAGTATTGTCCCACCTTACTAGGTTAGGAAAGTTTTCCTGAAGAATATCCTGAAGAATATTTTCCAGCTTGGATTCATTCTCTTCATAACATTCAGGTACACCTATCAAACATAAATTAGGTCGTTTCACACAGTCCCATATTTCTTGGAGACCTTGCTCATTCCTTTTTACTTTTTCTTCTCTAATCTTGTCTTCTCGTTTCATTTCATTAAGTTGGACTTAGACCTCTGATATCCTTTCTTCTGATTGATCAATTCACCTGTGCATACTTCGTGGCGTTCTCATATTGTATTCTTCAGTTCCATTAATTCACTTATATTCCTCTCTAAATTGTCTATTCTCGTTAGGATTTCGTCAAATCTTTTTTCAAAGTTCTTAGTTTCTTTACGTTGGGCTAGCACACATTATTTTAACTCAGAAGTTTCTTATTATCCATCTTCTGAAGCCTGATTCTGTTAATGGAATGCGCTCGTTCTCCATCAGGCCTTGTTCCCCTGTTGATGAGGAACTGTGATCCTCTGTAGAGGGAAAGGCATTCTGAGTTTGGGTATTCTCAGCCTTTTTACGCTGGTTTCTTCCCATCGTTGTAAATTTATCCACCTGTCGTCTTTGTAATTACCAACTTCCAAATTAGGTCTCTTAGTGGACGTGCAACTTGTTAATTCCTAGGGCCGAAATCTGAGCAACCCACTGCGCCGGCTAAAACAGCAGCGTCAAGATTCTTGGTGCTTTTCTGTCTGGGAGTCTCCCGTCTGGCTTCCCTCCTGAATCCCTTCTTCAATCAGCTCCAAACATCGGCCAAAAGGGGAACCCGTCCCGTTTACTCTGCACCAAGAACCGCCGCGCCGGGGCATCGGCAAAACTGCAGCGCCGGCTGCAAGAGTCGCGCTGGCCACCCGTGGGGCTCCTCCGCTGGGAATCTCCTGGTCCTTGAGCAACAAAAATTCGTCTGAAAGTGTGGCGTCCTCTCATTCTCCGCGCTTTCAATGGGAGCTACAAGCCTGAGCTGCTAGTGGTCGGCCATCTTGGATCTCTCTCCCTCATTTTTTCTTTATTCCCTGTGAAGGGAGAATTAGGAAAGTGAGAATTAAGTGACCTCCAGTGTCGTTCACCATCATTAATGTTTCACTCTGAAAAGTTCATGACAAAGTTTCTAGCCTTTCATGGAGTAGGAATGAAACTGTCTGTATGTATAAGAGAAGAAAGCACTTTTTCTTCCCCAGACGGACTCTTGCTGTTGCCCAGGCTGGAGTGCAACGGTGCGATCTTGGCTCACTGCAAACCTCCACCTTCTGAGTTCAAGCAATTCGCCTGCCTCAGCCTCCCCAGTAGCTGGAAAACCCACTGCTTCAGCCGATTTTTCTATTTTAGTAGAGATGGGGTTTCACTATCTTGGCCAGGCTGGTTTTGAACTCCTGACCTCGTGATACACCTGTGTCAGCCTCCCAAAGTGCTGGGATTACAGGCATGAGCCACTGCACCCGGCCTAATTTTCTATTTTTAGTAGAGATGGGGTTTCTCCATGTTGGCCAGGCTGGTCTCGAACTCCTGACTTTGTGATCCATCCACTTCAGCCTCCCAAAGTGCTGGGATTACTGGCATGAGCCACTGAGCCTGGCCTGACTTTGTTTTTTAGTAGAGATGGGGTTTTTCCATGTTGGCCAGGCTGGTCTTGAACTCCTGACCTCAGGTGATTTGCCTGACTTGGCCTCCCAAAGTGCTAGGATTACAGGTGTGTGCCACCATGCCCAGCAAAAGCAATCTTTTTTAAAGAAGAAAGAATAGAGTGTTTAAAAAAAAAAAGCAAAATTTGAAGCAAACTGAGTCTTGAAGTGGAGAGAGCCAGGGATTGCAGAACCTCCCTGCTCCTCCAAAACCTCCCAGGATCTCTCTTGCAACTGTAGGGTGGTGGGCACGAACTGGGGGTGCAGGCAGCCAGCTCTGCCCTTCACTGCTGCTCCTGTTCTGGTCTTGGTCGAAGCAGGAGCAGAGGCCTTTAAGTCCCACCCAAGGGCAACCTCTGGTTCAGCCACTGGAAGAACAGGCCTAGCTGGTCTGTCTGGTGCCCAGGGGGGCTGTTTATCCTCAGCTACCCCTCAAGGTGGGGTGAGTCAAAATTGAAAGTAGAGGAGGAATGAACAGATGAGATGTCCCTGGCTGGCGGGGGAGTTGATAGTCTCTTTGTCTACACCGAGCAAGGGATCACCTGGCTGTCGGGAATTGCCTATGTGGCCAATTGACTAGGTAGTGCGTACCCTGATCAGGCCACCTTGTCACGAATGGATTGTGAGTTTCAGTGCAAACCTCCTTACAGACTTTTGGGCTGGGCCTACATGTCCTCTATAACCTGGTCCTGTCAGCTCCTGCCCTCATCTCCAAACCCTGCAATAAAAGGCTCCTCACCCCAGCAACCTGCTACTTCACACCTCTACATCCAGCTATTCCTCTTGCTTGGAAAACACCCACTTCTTTAGGAGCCAGATCAACACTACCCCTTCAGGATGCCCTCCCTCCCTGCCACCTCCAGGGAGAGGGAGTGTTGGCTTCTTTGTTCCTCCTTTACTGACCTGGGGGCAAGTCTCTTCTCTTTAAGTGTCAGCGTGTTTTTTTGTTTTATTTTGTTTTTTTTTGAGACAGAATCTCACTGTGTCGCCCGGGCTGGAGTGCAGTGGCATGCTCTCTGCTGACCGCAACCTCCGACCCCCTGGTTCAAGTGATTCTCCTGCCTCAGCCTCCCGAGTAGCTGGGATTACAGTCACGCACCACCACGCCTGGCTAATTTTTTTATTTTTAGTAGAGACGGGGTTTTCTCGATGTTAGTCAGGCTGATCTCGAACTCCTAACCTCAGGTGACCCACCCGCCTTGGCCTCCCAAAGTGCTGGGATTATAGGCATGAGCCACCGCGCCTGGCCTTAATCCCTGCTCTACTATTACTCTATGTGACTTTGGAGAGACTACTTGACTTCCATGTGCCTCAATTTCCTCATCTATGAAGTTCCCCCTCTAAAGAAATTGACCAGCTTCAAAGATGTACAGACTCTGACATGGCGGGATGTCATGAAATTCCTGTATCCTTTCTCACACATCACAAAGCTTCTAGTCAGTATTTTAGTACCTCCCATTCTCATTTGATAAATTTCCATGTGCTGGACACTGCTGGCTGGGCACTGTGGCTCCAGAGATTCTCGAGGAAAGATCAGTCACCACCTGTCCATCTTCTCCCAGCATTCAAAATTTGGTTCACTTCTCTCCCCTGCTGCCTCCTCCTCTCTCATTCTTTTGTCCTGTGGCTGCATGAGATACACACATATAATCTTCAAAGTTAGTGGCTCAAGGAATATTGAATCCAGGGGAAATGTCCCCCTTGAAAGCCCCTTAGGAAAGTAAGCTAAACGCATCAATGACATGAGTTCCCTGTAAGTCACAAACTTCTACACCCTCTATGAAGAAGCCTGGTCTCACATTCAGCCTCTTCCACTCACATGCCTTGTGAGAGGTTCTTATCAAATGGAAATAATAATATCTACTTCCTTTTTTTTTTTTTTTGAGACGGAGTTTCGCTCTTGTTACCCAGACTGGAGTGCAATGGGACAATCTCGGCTCACGGCAACCTCCGCCTCCTGGGTTCAAGCAATTCTCCTGCCTCAGCCTCCCAAGTAGCTGGGACTAAAGGCGCGCACCACCATGCCCAGCTAATTTTTGTATTTTTAGTGGAGACGGGGTTTCATCTTGTTGATCAAGATGGTCTCCATCTCTTGACCTTGTGATCCACCTGCCTCAGCCTCCCAAAGTGCTGGGATTATAGGCGTGAGCCACTGCACCTGGCCCCTTTTTTCTTTTTTTTGAGACAAAGTCTCACTCAGTCACCCAGGCTGGCAGGCAATGGCATGATCTTGGCTCACTGCAACCATCGTCTTCCGGGTTCAAGCAATTCTCTGGTCTCAGCCTCCCAAGTAGCTGGGATTACAGGCACCTGCCATTATGCCTGGCTTTTTTTTGTATTTTAGTAGAGACTGAGTTTCACCATATTGGCCAGGCTGGTCTTGAACTCCTGACCTCAGGTGATCTGCCCACTTTGGCCTCCCAAAGTGCTGGGATTACAGGTGTGAGCAACCACGCCCAACCAATATTATCTACTTTCTACGATTATTCTAGAGACCACATTTAGATAAAATATGGGGAAATATAGTACATAAAAAGCCCTCAGGTCTGGAAGTGGTGGCTCATGCCTGTAATCCCAACACTTTGGGAGGCCAAGGGAGGTGTATTGCTTAAACCCAGGAGTTGGAGCGCAGCCTGGGCAACACAGTAAGACATCCCAAAAAATAAATAAATACAATAAAAAGAAGTGGGGAGCCAGGTGCAGTGGTTTATGCCTGTAATCGCAGCACTTTGGGAGGCCAAGGTGGGCAGATGACCTGAGGTCAGGAGTTTGAGACCAGCCTGACCAACATGGTGAAACTTCATCCCTACTGAAAATAAAAAAAAATTAGCTGGGTTTGGTAGCACATGCTGTAATTCTTCCTACTCAGGAGGCTGAGGCACAAGAATCACTTGAACCCAGGAGGCTGAGGTTGCAGTGGGCCAAGATGGTGCCAATATACTCCAGCCTAGGCAGCAGAGCGAGGCTCAGTTCAAAAAAAAAAAAAAAGAGAGAGAGAAAGAAAAGAAGGCCGGTGGGAGTGGTGGCTCACGCCTGTAAACCCAGCACTTTGGGAGGCCAAGGTAGGTGGATCACCCGAGGTCAGGAGTTCGAGACCAGCCTGGCCAACATGGTGAAACCCCATCTGGAAAAAAAAAAAAAAAAGAGAGAAGGAAAGAAAGAAGTGGGAGTTTATTTATTTATTTATTTATTTTGACAGGGTGTCAGCTCTACTCACTGCAGCTGGGCATAAGCAAACCCCCACCTCCACCTCCCAAGTAGCTGGGACTACAGGCACACACTACCATGCCCGGCTAATTTTAAGAAAAATGTTTTGTAGAGGCCGGGTGCATTGGTTCATGCCATAATCCCAGCACTTTGGAAGGTGGAGGTGGATGGATTGCTTGAGTCCAGGAAGTTCGAGATGAGCCTGGGCAACATGGCAAAACCTCATCTCGGCTGGGCATGGTGGCTCACACCTGTAATCCTAGCGCATTGGGAGGCTGAGGCAGGTGGATCACCTGAGGTCAGGAATTTGAGACGAGCCTGGCCAACATGGCGAAATCCTATCTCTACTAAAATACAAAAATTAGCTTGGTATGGTGTCGATGCCTGTAATCCCAGCTACTCGGGAATCTGAGGCAGGAGAATCGCTTGAACCTAGGAGGTAGAGGTTACAGTGAGCCAAGATCACACCATTGCACTCCAGCCTGGGCAACAAAAGTGAAACTCTGTCTCAGAAACAAAATTAAAAAATCCATCTCTACAAAAAATATAAAAATTAGCCGGGTGTGGTGGTGTGCTCATATAGTCCAGCTAGTCAGGAGGCTTAGGCAGGAGAATCACTTGAACCCAGTAGGCGGAGGTTGCAGTGAGCTGAGACTATACCACTGCACTCTGTCCTGGGTGACAGATTGAGACTGTCTCAAGAAAAAAAAGAAAAAGAAATTGTTAATGTGGGTTTGAGATTTGGATGAATCTCATCAGCAACGTTGTTCTAAACAACCTCTTAGGACCCAATGCTTGATTGCCAAGGAGTTGGTTTAAAAATATAGATAGATGTAGGCCAGGCACGGTGGCTCATGCCTGTAATCCCAGCACTTTGGGAGGCTGAGGTGGGAGGATCACGAGGTCAGGAGTTCAAGCCATCTGATCAGCCGCAGTGAAACCCCGTCTCTACTAAAAATACAAAAATTAGCCAGGCATGATGGTGCACACCTAATCCCAACTACTCAGGAGGCTGAGAGGCCGGAGAATCGCTTGAACCTGGGAGGTAGAGGTTACAGTGAGCCAAGATCACACCATTGCACTCCAGCCTGGCAACAAAAGTGAAACTCTGTCTCAGAAACAAAATTAAAAAATCCATCTCTACAAAAAATATAAAAATTAGCCGGGTGTGGTGGTGTGCTCATATAGTCCAGCTAGTCAGGAGGCTTAGGCAGGAGAATCACTTGAACCCAGTAGGCGGAGGTTGCAGTGAGCTGAGACTATACCACTGCACTCTGTCCTGGGTGACAGATTGAGACTGTCTCAAGAAAAAAAAGAAAAAGAAATTGTTAATGTGGGTTTGAGATTTGGATGAATCTCATCAGCAACGTTGTTCTAAACAACCTCTTAGGACCCAATGCTTGATTGCCAAGGAGTTGGTTTAAAAATATAGATAGATGTAGGCCAGGCACGGTGGCTCATGCCTGTAATCCCAGCACTTTGGGAGGCTGAGGTGGGAGGATCACGAGGTCAGGAGTTCAAGCCATCTGATCAACCGCAGTGAAACCCCGTCTCTACTAAAAGTACAAAAATTAGCCAGGTATGATGGTGCACACCTAATCCCAACTACTCAGGAGGCTGAGAGGCCGGAGAATCGCTTGAACCCGGGAGGCGGAGGTTGCAGTGAGCAGAGACTGCTCCAGTGTAGTCCGGCCTGGGGACAGAGCGAGATTCTGTCTTAAAAAAAATTATAAATATAAGTTATACATATTTTTGGGGTATACGTGATATATATATTTTTGAGATGGAGTCCCATTCACTCTATTGCCCAGGCTGGAGTGCAGAGGCACCATCTTGGTTCACTGCAACCTCTTCCTCCTGGGTTCAAGCAATTCTGCTGCCTCAGCCTCCCGAGTGGCTGGGATTACAGGTTTCCACCACCATGCCCAGCTAATTTTCGTGTTTTTAGTAGAGATGTGGTTTCACCATGTTGGTCAGGCTGGTCTCAAACTCCTGACCTCAAGTGATGTGTCTGCCCCAGCCTCCAAAGTGCTGGGATGACAGGTGTGAGCAATTGTGCCCGGCCTACATGTAATATTTTAAAGCATGTATTTAACGTGCGATGATCAAATCAGGGTAATTGGGATATCCATCCCCTCAAACATTTTTCTCTGTGCTGAGAACATCACAGTTCCTGTCTTGTAACTATTTTGAGACATATAAATTATTAACTGATTTCTCTACTGTATTCTTGGATTCTAGAACATATTCCTTCTATCTAATTGAAATTTTTTTTTTTTTTTTTTGGAGACAGTGTTTCCATTTTGTTGCCCAGATTGGAGTACGATGGTGTGATCTTGGCTCACTGCAACCTCTGATTCCAGGTTCAAGCAATTCTCTTGCCTCAGCCTCCCGAGTAGCTGGGATTATAGGCATGTGCTAACAAGCCTGGCTAATTTTTCTATTTTTGGTAGAGACAGGATTTCACCATGTTGGTCAGGCTGGTCTTGAACTCCTGACCTCAGGTGATCCACCCACTTTGGCCTCCCAAATTGCTGAGATTTCAGTCGTGAGCCACCAAGCCCAGCCCCTCTAATTGTATTTTTATACCCATAAAGCAACTTCGACTCATCTTTCCCTCTCCTTTCCCTTTCCAGTCTCAGATAACCACTATTCTATTCTCTACCTTTTTTTTTTTTTTTCTGCTCCCACATATGAGTGAGAATGTATAGTATTTGTCTTCCTGTACCTGGCTTATTTCACTTAATATAACGACCTCCAGTCCATCCATGCTGCTGCAAATGACAAGATTTCATTCTCTTTTTTTTTTTTTGAGATGGAGTCTCTGTCGCCCAGGCTGGAGCGGAGTGGTGCGATCTCGGCTCACTGCAACATCTGCCTCCCAGGTTCAAGTGATTCTCCTGCCTCAGCTTCCTGAGTAGCTGGGACTACAGGCATGCACCACCATGCCTGGCTAATTTTTGTATTTTTCGGTAGAGATGGTGTTTCACCATGTTGGTCAGGCTGGTCTCAGACTCCTGACGTCATGATCTGTCTGCCTTGGCCTCCCAAATTGCTAGGATTACAGGCATGAGCTACCATGCCCGGCCTCTCTCTATATATATACAGATAGAAAAAGTTTAAATACAAAAATTTCTTTTTTTTTTTTCTGAGGCGGAGTTTCGCTCTTGTTACCCAGGCTGGAGTGCAATGGCGCGATCTCGGCTCACCGCAACCTCCACCTCCTGGGTTCAGGCAATTCTCCTGCCTCAGTCTCCTGAGTAGCTGGGATTACAGGCATGCGCCACCATGCCCAGCTAATTTTTTGTATTTTTAGTAGAGACGGGGTTTCACCATGTTGACCAGGATGGTCTCGATCTCTTAACCTCATGATCCATCTGCCTCGGCCTCCCAAAGTGCTGGGATTACAGGCTTGAGCCACGGCGCCCGGTCTAAATACAAAAATTTCAATTATAAAAGTTAAAAAATTACTGCTGCTTGTTTGGTTGGTAAAAAAAAAAAAAAGTTAAAAAACAACAGATGGTGCCCAGGCGCAGTGGCTCATACCTGTGATCCAAGCACTTTAGGAGGTTGAGGTGGACAGTTCACTTGAGGTCAGGAGTTTGAGAACAACCTGGCCAATGTGACAAAAACTCATCTCTACTAAAAATAGAAAAAAAATTAGCCGGGCGTGGTGGCATGTGCCTGTAGTCCCAACTACTCCGGAGGCTAAAGCATGAGAAATGGCGTGAACGAAGCAGACGAGGTTGCAGTGAGCTGAGCTTGCATCACTGCATTTCAGCCTGGGCAGCAGAGCAAGACTCTGATTCAAAAAAACAAAACAGAAAAGAAAAAAAACACAGAGGGTGGTGAAGTTGCCGAGAAAAGCGAACATGTATACACTGTTGGTGGGTTTGTACGTTAGTTCAGCCCCTGTGAAAAGCAGTTTGTGGCCGGGCGCGGTGGCTCACGCCTGTAATCCCAGCACTTCGGGAGGCCGAGGCGGACGGATCATGAGGTCAAGAGATCGAGACCATCCTGGCCAACACGGTGAAACCCCGTCTCTACGTTTTTTGAATAAAAATAAAAAATAAAAGCAGTTTGGAGATTTCTCAATGAACCAAAAATAGAACTACCACTTGACCCAGGAATCCTGTTAATCAAAGGAAAATAGACAGTTTTACCAAAAAGACACCTGCATTCACATGTTTATCACGGCACTCACGATAGCAAAGATACAGAATCAACCTAGGTGCCCACCAGTGGTGGACCAGATAAAGAAAAGGTGCTATGTACATACCATTGGATACTATACAGCCATAAAAAAGAACAAAATCATGTCCCTGGCAGCAATGTGAATGCAGCTGGAGGCCATTATCCTGAGTGAATTCACTCAGGGACAGAAAACCAAATACTGCATGTTCTCATGTATAAGTGGAAACTAAACAGTGGGTACATGTGGGCAGAAAGATCTTTCTGATACTGCACAGTAGATACTGGGGACTCCAAAAGGGAAGATGGAGGCATGGACTCAAGGTTTGAAAAACAATTAGGCTGGGCATGGTGACTCACACCTGTAATCCCAGCACTTTGGGAGGCCAAGGAAGGTAGATCACCTGAGGTCAGAAGTTTGAGACTAGCTTGGCCAATTCGGTGAAACCCTGTCTCTACTAAAAATACAAAAATTAGACAGGTATGGTGGCGCACGCCTGTAGTCTCAGCTACTTGGGAGGCTGAGGCAGGAGAATCACCTGGACCTGGGAGGCAGAGGTTGCAGTGAGCAGAGGTCGAGCCACTGCACTCCAGTCTGGGTGACAGAGCGAAACTCCATCTCAAAAAAAAAAAGGAAAAAAAGAAAAACTACTGAGTACTATGTTCACTATTTGGGCGATGAGTTCAATTGAAGCCCGAATCCCAGCATCATGCAATATATCCATGTAACAAATCTGCACATGTACCCACTGCATCTAAAATAATAACATAAAACATACAGAATTACCAGATATAGGTGAAGGGGAGGAAGGCAGCAAATCGCGCTGCCATATGTGTACCTATGCAACAATCTTGCATGTTCTTCACATGTACCCCAAAACCTAAAATGCAATAATAAAAAAAGATAATCAGAAAATTATAAACCAAGTTCTCAATTCTGAAATCCTTTATAGTATAAAAGCTCCATTATAAATCGGCTGGATTTATGAACTGAGGATGCTGATTTAATAGGGCATAAAACCCTGTAACATAATGCTACTTACTGAGGGTTGTGTTTCTTTGTCGGTTTAATACTTTGAGAAAGTAAAAAGAATAGAGAAAAGGGTTGATTGAGTTCATCTGGAAGAACCCCTGGCCCCATCCCCCAAAGGAAGCCTTCTCATCCTTAAATCTCGCTTGCCTGCTTCTTTATCTCTTCCGAGCCCTCTCCCTTTCTCGACCCTTCTCACTTGTTGTGACTCCCTGTGCTCCACACCTTGGCATAGAGGCTTTCGTTCTGTCATTTTAAATGGTCATATAGTGATTCCGTGTGTATTTAGTACAAGCTTGTCCCTAGAGTTTCCTGTTCTTGAAGGCAGGGAGATGCCAGGTTTTATGGCCATTTTCCTACAAGGGCTTAAATCACCCTGATCCCTGAATACCCTGTTTCCAGTGGTCTGATGGTTAATTTTCTGTGTCATGACGAAGTTGTAGTGCCCAGTTGTTTGGTCAAACACCAGTCAGGATGTTGCTGTGAAGGTGAGTTTTAGATGATTAACATTTAAACCAGTTGGCAGCGAGTAAAGCAGATGACCCTCTGTAACATGGACGGGCCTCATTCAATTAGTTGAAAACCTTGAGAGCAAAGACTGAGGCTCCCTAAAGTATAAGAAAAAAAAAAAAACATACAGAATTACAAAGGAAATGGCTGGGTGTGGAGGCTCACACCTGTAATCCCAGTACTTTGGGAGGCCAAGGCGGGCAGATCACCTCAGGTCAGGAGTTTGAGACCGGCCTGGCCAACATGGCAAAATCACGTCTCTACTAAAAATACAAAACTCAGCTGGCTTGAGAAAAAACAAAACAAAACAAAACAAAAATTAGTTGGGCGTGCTGGAGCACACCTATAGTCCCAGCTACTTGGGAGGTTGAGGCAGAAGAATCACTTGAACCCAGGAGGTGGAGGTTGCAGTGAGCGGAGATAGAGCCACTGCACCCTCCAGCCAGGGTGAAAGAGCAAGACTCTGTCTCAAAAAAGAAAAAAAAAAAAAAGAATTACAACAGAAGAAATGTCTACTCAGGTCTTTTGCCTTTTTTTTTTTTTTAAGAGAGTCTTGCTGGTGTGCAGAGGCACAATCTAAGCTCACTGCAACCTTTCCCTCCGGGGTTTAAGTGATTCTTCTACCTCAGCCTCCTGAGTAGCTGGGATCACAGGCGTGCACTAGCATTCCCAGGTAATTTTTGTATTTTTAGTGGAGATAGGATTGCACCATGTTGTTCAGGCTGGTCTCAAACTCCTGGCCTCAAGTGATCTGCCAGCCTCAGCCTCCCAAAGTGCTGGCATTACAGGCGTAAGCCACTGTACCTGGCCTCTTTTGCCCATTTTTCATTTTTTTTTTTTTTGACAACTCAGCTTTTCAGAGAGCAGAATATGCCCATTTTTCAATTGGATTTTTTTTTGCTTTTGAGTTGAGTTCCTTATATATTCTGGTTATTAATCCCTTATGGGATGGATGGCTTAAAAATATTTTCTGCCATTCTGTAGACTGTGTTTTCATTTTGTTGATTGTTTCCTTCACTGTGCAGAAGCTTTTTAGCTTGATGTGATTCCACGTGCCTAGTTTTGCTCTGTTGCCTGATTAGGAATAAATTTGTTATTGTGAAGAAAGCCACTATAAAAAGGCGAACTTCCGGAAAGGAATGAAAAACCATCTGGAGCAGCCAATGCAGCCTACCTCAGGACTAGAGGAGGAAGGAATGGCCTCTGCTCTAGGGGTCCCAGAGGGCTTCTTGGGCAAACGCTGGCTCTTGGCACAGCAAGTGGCTGCGGATCACACATCGGGCAAAAGGTCAGCATGTACCTGGGTCAAAAAGAGATGTTCATTGGGGCCCAAGGGAGATTGTTTGGGTGTGAGTGAGCCCTAGGTTTAGCGTGACCAGTGGAGCATGGCCCCAGGTGGAATGGCGCCTTTGCCATACCCCAAGGAACCACTGTTTATGGGGAGATGAGGATAGAGCCTTATTCAGCACCCTTGAGCTGTTCCAATGTCTGCAGCATGGTCCATGCTCTGTCCCGCTTCTGCAATCGCTTTGGCATATGGGGCCCTCTTGCCCTCCAATTTCATAGGCTGTTAGTGTTTCAGTGGCAGTGGTGAGACAATGGAGGAAATGATTGAGGAGAGCAGCGTAGAGGTGGAGCCGCCAGCCAGCACGTGGGCCGCTGCTGTTAGTTGCCCAGGGTTTACTCCTGTCTTTTCTCATAGTCAGTACCTTTGGTTTCTTTGTGGCATGCTCCCCATCCTAACCCAATGACTCTGGTGGGGTGATTATCCTTAGTACCTCAAGCCCCTCAAAGGGTGGGCATCTGTCCCAGTGGGGCTAGCTGCTGTCCTCCATCCCTGGCCACCAGCAGGATGGGACTGAAACTGGAACAGAGTCCTTTCCTGGGCCTTTTCTACTTAGAGTTGGCAGGAAAGAGCTTTCTTTCCTCTCCAGATTCAAGGTCATAAAGATGTAAGCCTGGAGCTGTTGAGGCCATAAGTCTGGTGTTATAGGAATGAAGCCACCAGAGAGTGAATCAGAGCTAAGAGATGGACAGTGAGAAGCTTTCAAGACCTAGTGCCACGAAAGCTAAGCTCCTCCCCCTGCATTCCTATGGTTGGGCCTGGGAGCCATTCATCGCTTTTTATTTTGGCTAATGAGAGTGGGGTTCCTGTTACTTGCAACCAAATGTTCTGAATGACATACCATACAAGCATCCTTCAACATCCCCAGGACTTTGCTGTTGGGTGGATAAAACTCAAAAGAAAAATTAATTTCCTTTCATATAGGGAGGGCTCAGTGTCTTACAAATAGAAGAGATGGAACCTTATTTGCTAGTGAGGCAAGATTCCTGGGTTATATAAGAACCTACTTAATAAATGTTAAGTGCTGTTTACATTCAGTGGCAGAAACTCTTGGTTGTCTAATCAGTTACATTCCATAGCCTCTCCCTGACACTTCCTACTATGCAGGCTGGAAAGGTGAGCATGGCACTTGCTTTCCCAGCCTCTGAAGCAGTCAGAGGAATCCATGCAATCCAGTCCTGGGCTGTAAGACATAAGCAGGAGTCTGTTACTGGTTGGGTGGGGGAAGTGACTTAATAGATTAATATTTTTTATTTTATTATAAATTATCTCCCAGAAGGATCACTTGAGGCCAAGAGTTCAAGACCAGCCTGTGCAACACAGTGAGACATCCATCTCTAATAAAATAAAATGATGGCGTGCACCTGTAGTTCCAGCTACTCAGGAGGCTGAGAGAGGAGAATCACTTGAGCACAGGAGTTTGAGACTGCAGTGAATTATGATCTCACCACTGTACTCCAGCCTAGTGACAGGGCAAGACCTTGTCTCTTAAAAAAAATGCCTTAAATAAATTCTGAAAGTTGGTGGAGGTATAAAAATAAATTGAAAACATTTAAAAATTGATTTTGTTCTCTAGCCTGGGTGACAGTGAGACTCCATTTCAAAATAAATGAATAAATAAAAAAATTGATTTTATATAAAAATGTCGTTATTTTCTTTCTGGATAAAAACATCAGAAAATATTTCAAACATTTAAATATAAGAAAATAATTCGGGGCCGGGCACGGTGGCTCACGCCTGTAATCCCAGCACTTTGGGAGGCCGAGGCGGGTGGATCACGAGGTCAAGAGATTGAGACCATACTGGTCAACATGGTGAAATCCCATCTCTACTAAAAATACAAAAAATTAGCTGGGCATGGTGGTGCATGCCTGTGGTCCCAGCTACTCAGGAGGCTGAGGCAGGAGAATTCACTGAACCCAGGAGGCGGAGGTTGCGGTGAGCCGAGATCGCGCCATTGCACTCCAGCCTGGGTAACAAGAGCGAAACTCCGTCTTAAAATAAAAATAAAAATAAATAAATATAAGAAAATAATTCAGATATTTCAAAATAATTTGTAAGGCAGATGAGAGAAGAGAATAGGCATTGCAAATACCTGACGTTCCTTCTAAGAGCAAGAGGTTTCGGCTGCGTGGTGGCTCGTGTCAGTAATCCCAGCCCTTTGGGAGGCAGAGGAGGGCGGATCACCTGAGTTCAAAACCAGCCTGGCCAACTTGGAGAAGCATCATCTCTACTGAAAATACAAAATTAGCTGGGTGTGGTGGCACGTGACTGTAATTCCAGCTACTTGAGAGGCTGAGGCAGGAGAATCGCTTGAACCCGGGAAGTGGAGGGTGCAGTGAGCGAAATCATGCACTCCAGCCTGGGCAACAAGAGAGAAACTCCGTCTCAAAAAAAAAAAAAAGAGGTTTCATTCAAACTTCATTCAATAGGCTGGGTGTAGTGGCTCACGCCTGTAATCCTAGCATTTTGGGAGGCCAAGATGGGTGGATCGCTTGAGGTCAAGAGTTTGAAACCAGCCTGGCCAACATGGTAAAACCCCATGTCTACTAAAAATTAGCTGTGCAAGGTGGCAGGTCCCTGTAATGCCAGCTACTCAGGAGGCTGAGGCAGGAGAATCACTTGAACCCAGGAGGTAGAGGTTGCAGTGAGCTGAGATCGCGCCATTGCACTCCAGCCTGGATGACAGAGTGAGACCCTCCTTCAAAAAACAAACAAACAAACTTCATTCAACCAACACTGATCTAGTTTACAATGTGCCAGGGGCTTTGCTAGGGCAGGGGATTCAAAGACCCACAAACCCAGTTCCTGGTCTTGGGAGCTCACTGTTGGAAAGACAGATGCAGGAATAGATACTTGTATACCCTGATGTAAAATAGTCTCAGGGAGTTATGTGGGCACAAGGACGAGAAAAGGCTTCTCAAGGCAAATGGTGCCTGAACTGAGTAGTAAGGAACAACCTGAGGGGTCAGGGTGTAAGAAGTCATGCCAGATGGAGGGGACTGTGTGTGCAAAGGCAAAAAGGTGAGAATCAGTGTGGTGGGTGCCGGGGGTGGGATGGTTAAAGCACAGCTGGTAGGCATGGAGCTGTGCAGAAAGAGGGCTTGCAAGGGAGACAGGGCCTGTTTCTGCAAGGTGCGCGCTTGCCAGTGGGGAGTGTGATCTCTGTCCTATAGGCCACAAGTGGGAACGGGGAAGGTCATTCATTCTGAGACTTGTGTTTTAGGTAGATCTTGGTGTCTGTGTAGTTTGGATTTGAGGGTCACAAGTCTGGACACATGGAGACAATTAGAAAGCTGTTGAGCCAGGCCTGGTGGCTCACACCTATAATCCTGGCACTGTGGGAGGCTGAGATGGGTGGATGTGTTCTGTCAGTTTCAGACCAGCCTGGCCAACATGGTGAAATCCTGCCTCTACTAAAAATACAAAAATCAGCTAGGTGTGGTGGCACACACCTGTAATCCCAGCTGCTTGGGAGGCTGAGGCAGGAGAATTGCTTGAACCCGGGAGGTGGAGGTTGCAGTGAGCCAAGATTGTGACACTGCACTCTAGCCTGGACAAAGCAAGACTGCATCTCCAAAAAAAAAAAAAAAAAAAAAAAGAAAGAAAGTAAAAGAAAAGAAAGCTGATGAAATGGTTCAGGCAAAGGAGAAGAGTGTTCTGTGAAAATAGGTGCCTGGCAACATAGTTCATTTACGTTTACACTTGTGCATTGGCAGAGCCTGGCTTTTCCAGTTCTTTGTTCAGAAACAGCTCTCTCAATGATTCTTGACCTCTAAAAGCATCTGTCCACAAAAATATTCATTTACTCCTGAAAGTGTTTCACTATTTTCATAACAATGGATATAAAAGCCATTTTTTGATCAAAGTATTTTGTTAGCTTTTGACTTTCAGTGAGCAGGGAAGAGTCATCATTTAATCAAAAATCTTTTGTTCTGTCAGCTAATATCAAGTGGGGAGCTTCTTTAAAAAGAAATTCTGATTATACAATCATGAATAATCATGATGAAGATGAAAAGAGGGAAGCAGTAATGGAAACCCATGTGCCGGCCTGAGCTCCCTGTTGAGCTCATGTGTCGGTTTTTTTTCTTGTTTTGAGACAGAATCTCACTGTCACCCAGGCTGGAGTGCAGTGGTGTGATTCGGCTCACTGCAACCTTCATCTCCCAGGTTCAAGTGATTCTCCTGCCTCAGCCTGCTGGGTAGCTGGGATTGCAGGCACCTGCCACCACATTCAACTAATTTTTGTATTTTTAGTAGAGACTGGGTTTCGCCATGTGGCCAGGCTGGTCTTGAACTCCTGACCTCAGGTGATCTGGCTGCCTCGGCCTCCCAAAGTACTGGGATCACAGGTGTGAGCCACCACCTGGCCTGTTGAGCTAATGTTTTGAGAGGATGGACAAAATATAGATGAAGGGAAGTATAATCAGAGATGGATCCTGAAGAATGGGACAATCGTGAAAAATACTGTCAGGAGGACTGTGCTGTAGTGTGCCAGAAATTCTAAGGAAAATAAAGAAGGTCTTTTTTTTTAAAGATGGGGTTTCGCCACGATGGCCAGGCTGGTCTTGAACTCCTGACCTCAGGTGATCCACCCACCTCGGCCTCCCAAAGTGCTAGGATTACAGGCGTGAGCCACCTCGCCCGGCCAAAAAAGGTCTTTAAAGTTATTCTTAGGGCAAGAAGAACAAAGAAAGCATGTATTTATAGCTTAAGGGATGATATAGAGTGATACTGAGAGAAGGCAGGAATACACACTTTATAGACAGAAGAAGTGCTGTCATTGACAATAACTTCAGCCAAGCCTATGCCTAGTTTCTCCTGGTATCCTGAGCCCTTTCAACAGGCTAGGGCGGGGAGTCTGGAAGCAGCGGTGCTCCAATTCAGGCCTGCTGCACATCCAGGGATTCCTTTCACCATTTTCCTTGGCTAGAATTCCTGTTTCATGGATCTCATGCTTTCTTCTTTCTTGGTTTAGCAGAAGCACATTTTCCACAAGCACAGAGGAGACCTAGGGGATAAGAATGCTGGTGGGTGTGTCAGCTGGTGCAGCTGTTCTGAAGAGCCACTTAGCAGTTTCAGTCAGAGGAAGAATCTGTGAATCCTCTGTCCCACCAATCCTGTTCCTGAGCACACACCCAAAGGAAATTCCCACATGGATTCATAAGAGGGCATGTATGAAGATGCTCGCAGTAATACTGTTTGTGTCTTTGCGTGTATAAAGACTTCTGATTTCTATAATTTTAGACCCTATCACTTCACTGAATTCTCTCTTTAAAAATAATTTTTTTTTTTAAAGAATTGGGGCCTTGAAGCCCAGGTGCAATGGCTCACACCTGTAATACCAGTACTTTAGGAGGCCGAAACAGTAGGATCGCTTGAGACCATTTTGAGACCAACCTGGGCAACATGGTGAGACCATCTCTACAAAAAATTTAGAAAATTACCGAAGTGTGGTGGCACAGGCTGGACTCGGACTCCTGGACTCAAGCAGTCCTCATACCTCAAGCTGGGACTACAGCCTTGTACCATGGTGCCTGGCTTTGAATCCTTTAAAATTTCTTTCATTAATAGCAGTTTTTTAGTTGATTATCTTGGGCCTTCTAAGTATTAATCCTATCGTTAACAAATAGTTAAACATTTACCTTCTCTAATTTTTACACATCTAATTTTTTTCTTTTATTATTAATTTTTTCTAGAGATGGGGTTTTGCCATTGGCAGTCTGGTCTTGAACTCCTGACCTCATGATCCGCCTGCCTTGGTCTCCCAAAATGCCGGGATTACAGGCATGAGCCACTGCGCCTGGCCCATTTTTTGGTATTTTTACCAATTTTCTTTGTATTTTTAGTAGAGACGAGGTTTCACTGTATTAGCCAGGATGGTCTCAATCTTCTGACCTCGTGATCCGCCTGCCTTGGTCTCCCAAAATGCTGGGATTACAGGTGTGAGCCACTATGCCCGGCTTGCATTTCATTTATTTTAATTTTTATTGGACAACTGAATGTTTTTACTTTTTAAATTAAGGTATAATTTACGTAAGGTGCTAAATCCTAAGTGTAATACTTGATACACTTTTACACAAGTAACACCCAGCTCAAGATGCAGAATTTCCAGCACCCCAGAGGCTCCCTACGTTTCTTCCCTATCAATATCTCCCTCAGAGATAACCACTAACATTCTGACACCATTCATTAGTTTTGTCCATTTCTGAACTTCATACAGATGGAATTACACAATATGTACTCATGTCTGGCTCCTTCCACTCAACATTAGGTCTGTGGGGTTCATCCATGTTGTATATAACAGTAGTTCCAAACTGCGTATCCCTGATACAGTCTGGGTGTGTTCTCAACAAAATTCCATCTTGAATTGCAACTCCCACAATTTCTACCTGTTGTGGGAGGGACCTGGTGGAAGGTAATTGAATCATGGGGGTGAGTTTTTCCTGTGCTAGTCTCAGGATAGTGAATAAGTCTCACAAAATCTGATGGTTTTAAAAATGGGAGTTTTCAGTCCAGGTGTTGTGGCTCATGCCTGTCATCCCAGCACTTTGGGAAGCCAAGGCAGGTGGATCACCTAAGGTTAGGAGTTCGAGACCAGCCTGGCCAATATGGGGAAACCCCATGTCTATTAAAAATACAAAAACTGGCTGGGCGCGGTGGCTCACGCCTATAATCCCAGCACTTTGGGAGGCTGAGGCGGGTGGATCACGAGGTCAAGAGATCGAGACCATCCAGGTCAACAAGGTGAAACCCCATCTCTACTAAAAATACAAAAATTAGCTGGGCATGATGGCGCACGCCTGTAGTCCCAGCTACTCGGGAGGCTGAGACAGGAGAATTGCTTGAACCCAGGAGGCGGAGGGTGTGGTGAGCCGAGATTGTGCCACTGTACTCCAGCCTGGGTAACAAGAGGGAAACTCTGTCTTGAAAAACAATACAAAAACTGATTTCGTGGATGCTGGGTGTGCTTGAGCATTGGTGTTGGGCCGGAGGAAAGCGGGAAGACGCATCGGAGCGTGTGGATTTGAGCCTCTGTATTTTTTACCCTTGATCTCGAAATGCATCGTGATTCCTGTCCATTGGACTGAAAGGTTTATGTAGGCAATCTTGGAAACAATGGCAACAAGACGGAATTGGAACGGGCTTTTGGCTACTATGGACCACTCCGAAGTGTGGGCTGCTAGAAACCCTCCCAGCTTTGCTTTTGTTGAATTTGAAGATCCCCAAGATGCAGCTGATGCTGTCCGAGAGCTAGATGGAAGAACACTCTATGGCTGCTGTTTAAGAGTGGAACTGTCTAAAGGTGAAAAAAGTGGTAGAAATCATGGCCCACCTTGGGGCCGTTGTCCTCGAGATGATTATCTTAGGAGTCCTCCACCTCGTCGCAGATCTCCAAGGAGAAGCTTTTCTCGCAGCTGGAGCAGGTCCCTTTCTAGAGATAGGAGGAGAGAGAGATCGCTGTCTCGGGCTCCCAAGCCATCCCGATCCTTCTCTATGTCTCGTAGCCGTTCTAGGTCAAATGAAAGGAAATCGAAGACCAGTTTGCAAGAGAAGTGGTGTATAGGAAATTACTTCATTTGACAGGATTATGTAAAGAAAATTCAAGTTTTGTTTGAGACTTCATAAGCTTGGTGCATTTTTAAGATATTTTAGCTGTTCAGATTTGTTTGTCTTTTGAAACAGAGACACAAAGGTGTGATTTTCTACAGTTTGAAATGGATCATATGAGGCATGTAATACCAAGAATTGTTACTTTACAATGTTCCCTTAAGCAAAATTGAATATGCTTTGAATTTTAGTTATACATAGACTGATAATAAACCTCTAAACCCGCCCAGCAGATGTGTGAATTTTTTTTTTTTTTTTTTTTTTTTTTTTTTTTTTTTTTTAATCCTGCCTCAGGTTTATTTGTACAAATAGCACAGGAGGACCCCAGCCCCATGCAGATGGCAGCCCCAGGGGAGTTACACCAGTCCTTCTGTCCTCACATTGGCAGACAAAGATATCTATTCTGAAGCCTTGTAGGGGCCTGGGCACCTTTGAGAGCCTGAGCTGGAACTGAAACTGGAGCTGAAGCCTGGGCCTTGGTTTGATCCTTGGCCTTGGCCTTGACCTTGACCTTTGGCCGGCAGAGCCTGAGCCCCTTGGCAATGCGTGCCCGAGCACGCTTCCCAAGCTTGGGGTAGGCAATGTAGGCAAGTCGATCGAGCTTGCGGCTGACACCCTTTGGGATCTTGGGCTTAACCTCCTTGGGCTTTATGAGGGCCTTGATGGCCTCAGCTCGTGCACTCATGGCCTTGGTATTGTTGGCCTGCATCTTCTTTAGGCCCTTCTTGTTGTGCTTCTTGGCAAAGCGCATGTTCCTCAGGAATTTGGGGTCCACCCCCTTAAGAGACTCGTATCTTTGTGATCGGGGTTTCTTGATACCATTTCTGTGCCATTTTCGGGACTGGTTGTGTGTGGTGTGGTTCTTGGACTTGGCCATGTCTGCACCCAAGCCGCGGTTCCCAAAGCTCCTCTGAATTTTTTTTTTTTTTTAATACAGAAACAACTGGCAAAAACTGAACTAAGATTTTTTTTTTTGGGGATATAGGATGCAGCTATAGTTGAACAAGCAGTCTTTAAAAGTTGCTGTGAAACACAAGCCATCGGGTAAAAAATGCTGCACTATTAAATTAGAGGTTTTTGAAAAAGCCAACTCATGTTTATCCTGGGCAGAGGTTGCCTAGGTGATATAGAATCTGTTAAGTTTCAAGACAGTTTATCTTTGCTTTAGGTCATAAGTTCCTTATTTGATTGCTGTATATGAATATATGGCTGTTCATGACATTATGTGCAAATTTGAGATTTCGAAAATGACCTGCCAGTTTAAGGGTACATTGTAAAGCTGAACTTTGAGTTACTGTGCAAGATTTCTTTTCATGCTGTCATTTGTAATATGTTTTGTGAGAATCCTTGAGATTAAAGTTTCGGTTACAAATTGTTTAACTCGAAAGCCTGTTTTTCCTGGCCAACTCAGATCTGTGAGCCTGGTACCAAGTCCCGGTATAACATTCCTATTGGAAGCCATACTTATATTTTCTTGTAAAGTGCTTTTGAATTAATAAAATATTAGCATAATTGTGTAATAGTTAAAAAAAATACAAAAATTAGCCAGGTATGGTGGGCAGGCACCTGTAATCCCAGCGACTCAGGAGGCTGAGGCAGGAGAACTGCTTGAACTCAGGAGGCTGACATCACACCATTGCACTCCAGCCTGGGTGACAAGAGCAAAACTCCGTCTCAAAAAAAAAAAAAAAGGTAAATAAAAATGGGAGTTTCCCTGCACAAGCTCCTCTTTTTGCCTGCTGCCATCCATGTAAGACATGATTTGCTACTCCTTGCCTTCTGCCATGATTGTGAGGCTTCCCCAACCATGTAAAACTCTGACCATTAAACCTATTTTTCCTCCCAGTCTTGGGTATGTCTTTATCAGCAGCATGAAAAGGGACCAATCCAGTTAATTGGTACCAGTAGAGTGGGGTGCTGCTGAAAAGATACCGAAAAATCTGGAAGCAACTTTGGAATTGGGTAACGGGTAGACGTTAGAACAGTTTGGAGGGCTCAGAAGAAGATGGAAAATGTGGGGAAGTTTGGACTTCCTAGAAACTGGTTGAATGGCTTTGACCAAAATGCTGATAATGACACGGACAATGAAATCCAGGCTGAGGTGGTCTCAGATGGAGATGAGGAACTTGTTAGGAACTGGAGCAAAGGTGACTTTTGTTATTTTTTTTTTTTGAGACAGAGTCTTGCTCTGTTGCCCAGGCTGGAGTGCAGTGGCATGATCATAGCTCACTGTAACCTTGAACTCCTGGGCTCAAGAGAACCTCCCACCTCAGCTTCCTGAATAGCTGGGACTGTAGGCACACACCACCACACTCAGCTAAGTTTTACATTTTTCTGCAGAGATGGAGGTCTCACTATGTTGCCCAAGCTGGTCTTGAACTCCTGGCCTCAAGGGATCCT